TGTGTGTGTGTGTGTGTGTGTGTGTGTGTGTGTGTAGCTCCTCCCCCAGACCTCAGCCAGACCCCCGTCGAGATGACCGTCAATGAGTTGAAGTTCGCCCACTGGCTCTACGACACGCCGGGGATCATGAAGGAGCGCGACGTGAGGACGTCTTCATCTGTCTCGATCCGGATCCGACGGGTCCAGACCAGGACCTGAGAACTGATCCTCTGTTTCTGTTTCAGATCCTCCACCTGCTGCAGGACCACGAGGTCCGGCTGGTGGTTCCAAACAAGGCCATTGTCCCGCGGATGTTCGTGTTGAAGCCCGGCATGTGTCTGTTTGTGGGCGCTCTGGCCAGGATCGACTTCCTGCAGGTGAGACGCTGCAGAACCTCCTCTGTGATTGGTTAATTAATTAATCAATTAAGTAATTAATTGGATAATTGGTTTGTCGTCTGCAGGCAGAAAAGTCCTGCACGTTTTCAGTCATGGTCTCCAGCCGTGTCCCGATCCACATCACCAGTTTGGAACGAGCAGACAACATCTATCAGAAACACGCAGGCCACGCCCTGCTGGGGGTGAGTCACCTGACCGCAGGCTGAGGCAGCGCCGTGTGGTGTTAGGTGTTAACACTGCTGTTAGTGCTGTGTTCAGGTGTTAACACTGCTGTTTGTGTGGTGTTCAGGTGTTAACTGGTGTTAGTGTGGTGTTCAGGTGTTAACACTGCTGTTAGTGCTGTGTTCAGGTGTTAACACTGCTGTTTGTGTTGTGTTCAGGTGTTAACACTGCTGTTTGTGTGGTGTTCAGGTGTTAACGGCTGTTTGTGTAGTGTTAGGTGTTAACACTGCTGTTTGTGTGGTGTTCAGGTGTTAACTGCTGTTTGNACTGCTGTTTGTGTTGTGTTCAGGTGTTAGCGCTTCAGTTTGTGTTGTGTTCAGGTGTTAACACTGCTGTTTGTGTGGTGTTCAGGTGTTAGCGCTTCAGTTTGTGTTGTGTTCAGGTGTTAACACTGCTGTTTGTGTGGTGTTCAGGTGTTAACACTGCTGTTTGTGTGGTGGTCAGGTGTTAACTGATGTTTGTGTGGTGTTCACGTGTTAACACTGCTGTTTGTGTGGTGTTCAGGTGTTAACTGCTGTTTGTGTGGTGTTAGGTGTTAACACTGCTGTTTGTGTGGTGTTCAGGTGTTAACTGCTGTTTGTGTGGTGTTCAGGTGTTAGCACTTCAGTTTGTGTTGTGTTTAGGTGTTAACACTGCTGTTTGTGTGGTGTTCAGGTGTTAACTGCTGTTTGTGTGGTGTTCAGGTGTTAACACTGCTCTTTGTGTGGTGTTCAGGTGTTAACACTGCTGTTAGTATGGTGTTCAGGTGTTAACTGCTGTTTGTGTGGTGTTCAGGTGTTAACTGCTGTTTGTATGGCGTTCAGGTGTTAAAACTGCTGTTTGTGTGGTGTTCAGGTGTTAACTGCTGTTTGTGTGGTGTTCAGGTGTTA